CCACACCTTCGTCAATATTGAGCTGCAAACAACGTCATGCCAATAGTTGTTTGGTAACTATTGAGAATGGTTCGTCGTGAACCTCAATCAAAATTTCATCCCTTGACTACTTATATGTTCTTTTACAAAGGTGTTTAGGCATGCATAAACACCCTTGTAGACAACCATCTAAGGAATGAGATAACTCATCTATTGGCCCCGACATTAGCCGGCTAAAAAATCTAGATGAGTTAGAATCTCTTTGTTTAAATGAAACAACTCACCCTACTTGTTCTTCTATCTCGACATGCTCCAAATCAACCTATATGTGGGTTTCGTCTATGGTTAAAGTTGATGTACGAGTTATTTTTCTACTTAAGAGATCTATCATTGCATCTTCCTTCCTCGAGTGATATAATATGTCCACATCATAATTTTGCACCCACCTACATTGTCCCATATTCAACCGAGGCTACCTTGGAGAAGTCTAACCCAAACTCTTGATAATATCCAATCAAACCTAAGAAACTACGCATCTCGGTGATACCGTAGCCTTAGCTTGATATCACTTGGTTACTACTTTCGTTCATATATATCTATATATATATATATTTCTCAACATGTCTTCAATGTCCACTTTGCGTGGTGGTGTGTTGGATGATACATCGTCCTCCTCGATCGCATTATGGCACTCTTCTATATTGGCCCCTATATGGCCAAGGGACGCCACTTTGCTTGTCATGGCGTGAGGGTCACAACCTACTCTCTTCATAGTATGGTTGTGACATTCTCCCCCACATAACTTAGTCATCGTCTTCGATAACTTACTCGGATCACAATCATATTGCAAATGGTGACATTTATATATGTATATATATATAATTTATACCTCAAAAAAAGGGAAAAAGAATAAGCGGTCCAATATATAATGAATAATTAAAGAATGAGAAAAGGAAAAAGGAGGGATAGGTTAATACTTTTATTGCGGTAAAAGACATAATAAACGTGTGGACCAATTTAGATGTCGGGGTGAGACATAAGATATGATGTTTGTTTAAGGAAAAAAAAAAAAAAAACCTTACTTTCTCACTTTTGCAAAGCCTCAACTTTGAATTTCGGATTTGTCGGACATCAGATATGATTAGTCGGGTCAATGTTAACATGCAAATCATCTAAATTTCCGATTTTCCAAGAGTTTAACTTAATCTATAACATAATGGTTTAGATTAGTTAGTCTGAATTGGTTGAGTTATCGAGTCATATGAACATCTTTACTTCAATTTTCATCTTTACAGTAATAAATTCTATATACTTTTAAATATCTAAAATTTGTTAATAAATATTAAATTCGTTACAACAATAAAAAAGAATATTTCTATATATATATTTTTTTCGTTATAAATTTTAGATAAATATTGTCTAATGTAAATTTTTATTATAATTTTATCCATTTTGATTTTTTTTAATTTCTACCGTTAGAAATAAAATAAAATAAAATATTAAATTTATTTAAAAATAATTAATTTTTTAAAACGAAATATTTATCAAATTATTGAATATTTAGTGTAATGGAATCCCTCTGAAAAAAAAATGCTTTTAAAAATAAATTACTTTTTTAATAAACAAAGTCTATTAAAATGATTATTTAAGAATATATATACTAAAGTAAATAAATTGGAGTAGTAATTTATTATCTAAATATTCAATAATATAATCTCGGCCAGTAACAAAGAATTCTCAATTAAAGTTTAGTTACTAAACTTTGAATTTTATATCTATTTGATCCATAAACTTTTAAACATGTCTAATAATTTTCTAAATTTTTGATCGATCGGTTAATTCTCTGAATTTTCAATTATGTCGAGAAAAAGATCTTTTTTGAATTTTAAAATTAGAAGATTAAATTTATAATAAAATAATAATAATAGAAAAAAGGAATATTTGTGGTGGTTGTATATGGGTGTGTGAGTGGCAAGAAGGTAATAATCTTAAACAGTAAGGGTAATAGTGAAGCGGGCAATTGGTGAATGGTCTTCCTTAAACATCATCTAATGGCGAAACGATTCCGTTTGGTAATAAATGGGTTCCACCGCTTTCGTTGATAATATCTGAAATTTCCATCCCAATTTATGAACTCAACTACCCTTCTCTCCGGCCATGCCTTCTTCTGGGTATTGTTTTTCTTCCCCTTTTTCTTTACGGCTACTGATGTTCCTACTTTACTGTGCATTAGGCGACCCTTTATGCTAATTTTCAGCTGTTTCTCTTGTTTTTGAGGTGAAATCCTCTTGATTCTTCACTTTTTAGCTGTTTTAATCGCCCCCTTCACCTTTCTTTTTGTTGCTTTGCTTGAGAATATGCGGATCTTGCCCTTGCTTTCGATTCCATAAGCTTGTTCTTCACTGTTTCTATGTCTGTTCATGAGTTTAGCTGATGAGTGCAAGATTTTTCCCCCTTTCTATGGTTTTTTACTTGGATTAATGTTCATGGATTCAGGGTTTTGTGTAGTGTCCTGCTTGTTCATATCTGTGTCGAGAGTGAGCTTAAGGGAATCCATTGATATCTGTTTGAAGGTTAAGCATTAGGACAGCTTGTAATGTTTTGATTGTTTTCTGGTTTAGAACAAATCATCTGTATGTCAATTTCCTTTAGGGTCTGTGGTGTATATGACAGACTAAAGCTGTTTGAGCTTTTGGTTTTCGTTTGTATTATGTGAGATCCCACATCGGTTGGAGGGGAATGAACATTCCTTATAAGGGTATGGAAACCTCTCCCTGGCATACGCGTTTTAAAACCTTGAGGGGAAGTCCGAAAGGAAAATCTCAAAAAGGACAATATCTGCTAGCGGTGACATATTCATTCACATATCAAGTTTGATTTGTGTAGACCTGGCTGATTAAACATGATCATTAAAACTACATGTGTTCATGGATAAGAACAGTAGCCTAATGAGTAATTTCGTAGGCGAATTAAGCTCAAACGAAACTGTTCTTGGGTTTTTTTGATCACAATACATAGTTTAGGACTCTTTAATGCTTCGAAATCTTATGTGGTAGCACAGAAAACAAATCATTCTCTATAGTTTATGACTCTCATTTTGTGTTAGGCTGTTTTTTTCTCAGAATCTCGAAACGATTGATCCTGAAGTATTGAAGTAACACGGGTTATTTTGCCGACGAAAGGAGAGAGCCTGTAATAAGTTTCGGATCATTTTTGTTTTCCACAAGTGTCCTGTTGTTGCTCTGGGTCAATCTCCAATGCAGGAATCGTCAAGAAAGAAACTTCCGAACCAATCTCATAGGTTCTACGAACAGCCACCGCAAGAACCTGGGTCGTGTTACTGGCCTCCTATGAACCATGGAGGTGGCTTGTACTCTGATGATGTATTCGAACAAAATCACTTACCATCTGAGGCTTTCAAACAGTACTGCAACCTCGAGTCATCCTCGGGAACTAGTGGTTACCCTCCTCAAAATTCTTCCTCGACTGCTAGCTTCACGTCGAATGGAAGCCCTTCTTCACACCAAGAGTGCCATTCGTACTCGTTAGACCCGTATTATTCTCCCGACAATAACTGTGGTTCACCTGTCAGTAGATCTTGTTTAACAGATGATGCTGCCGATGACTTAAGGCACAAAATCAGGGAATTGGAGACTGCAATGCTTGGACCGGATACCGATGGGTTTGACATCTACTCGGTCGCTAATCCAGTCGATCCTGTATTGCCTGTGCAAGCAGGGTGGAAAGATGTGGCTGAGATAATGTCGAGAAAGGATTTGAAAGAGATGCTCTGTGCTTGTGCACGAGCAATAGGGGAAAACAATATGTTGACTGGTGAATGGTTGGTGTCGGAGCTACGTGGAATGGTCTCGGTTTCGGGTGAGCCAATCCAGCGTTTAGGAGCTTACTTGTTAGAGGCACTTATTGCAAGGACAGCCTCTTCAGGCAATTCTATCTGCAAAGCCTTAAGATGTAAAGAGCCTATAGGTACTGAGATGCTCTCATACATGCACATTCTCTATGAAATTTGCCCTTATTTCAAGTTTGGATACCTTTCAGCAAATGGGGCAATTGCTGAAGCCATTAAAGGTGAAAATAGAGTTCACATAATTGATTTCCAGATAGCACAGGGAAATCAATGGATTACATTGATGCAAGCTCTTGCAAATCGACCCGGAGGACCCCCGAAGGTTACCATTACAGGCATAGATGATTCCGCTTCTGCTTTTGCTCGAGGAGGAGGGCTCGAGATTGTCGGGAAAAGGTTGTCGCTTTTGGCGGAGTCGTTAATGGTACCCTTTGAGTTTCGTGGAATTGCAGGCTCTGCTGATGAAATTCAACGCGAAGATCTTAAAGTTCAACCAGGTGAAGCCATTGCTGTGAGTTTTACCTTGGTGCTGCATCATATGCCCGACGAAAGCGTTGGCAGTCAGAATCACCGGGATCGAATCTTGCGGCTGGTCAAGAGCTTGTCTCCCAAAGTTGTGACAGTCGTCGAGCACGAGTCGAACAACAATACAGCTCCCTTTTATTCCCGTTTCCTCCAGACATTAAAATATTACACAGCTATCTTCGAATCCATAGATGTTACCCTCCCAAGAGATCACAAGGAGCGAATCAACGTGGAGCAGCACTGTTTAGCTCGCGACATCGTAAACATAGTAGCCTGTGAAGGAGCCGAAAGAGTCGAACGTCATGAACTTCTCGGAAAATGGAGATCACGGTTCCTCATGGCGGGGTTTAAGCCACACCCTTTAAGCCCTTTTGTCAATGCTACCATTGAGGCACTGCTAAAGAATTACAGTGACAAGTACACGCTTGAAGAAAGGGATGGGGCTCTATATCTCGGCTGGCTGAATCAAAATTTGGTTACCTCTAGTGCTTGGATATGATACTCACCTAGTTGTAAAAGGCATCTTCCCACTTCAAACCTATGAACTTATGATGATTTCATTAGAACTGATATCTGTATTCACTAGAAGAGTTGTTGCTAATTAATACTTATATTTCAAGTATTTGAATTACATTGTAAAGATACATCTTCTGTGTAACAAATAAAACCAGGTGGTTCATATCATATTTGTACATGTATTGACCGCGAGGTTAGAACAAAGGCGGTTAACGCCAGAATAAGATCATAAACAACAAAGGGCAAGCATATGGAAAGAAAGCAACTGGTGTCGTCTCGTTCTCAACGTGGCTATGGCCCTGTTAGTATTCTCCCGACGCTCGGCGGATATGGGTGAGACGAATGGTTTAGCGGAACAACGTCCACGCTTTGGCTCTCGCTCAAGCTCTCTCTTGGTCCATGCTGGTTCATACCTCTATTGTGAACATTGAAATATGTTGGGGCTGAGTTTTCTTGAACTACTTCGAAGTTGAAATTGCCATTTGGAGCGAGAGGCTGCTGCCTGTACTCGTTCGATCTATTTTCACCAATGCCAACGCCAAGATCAAGGCTTACGGTGTCCCTGTCTTCGAGTCTATACCTCAATGGTGCGGTTCTCAATGGGCCTGCAGCGTCATGGCTACTACTTTTTGCAGTGGGGACATCGTGATTATGTTTCCCTTCATATGTAGTAATAACAGCTTTTGGGTCATGAGATGCTCTTTCGACATGTTTTCTGACGGGACATCCAACATTTGTGCACTTGTAATAACTCCTGCATTTTTGGAATTGATAAATAGGTATATATTGACATCAGAACACAGAACCTTCAATGGAAAGGCACAACAGTATGATTGTAGCTAAAATTTGGATACAAAAGCAAAAGCTAAGTACTAATATATCGGTTTCTTCAACGTATTTATGCAGGCACGCTCCAAAGAATTTCATCAATAATATCACCGGAGCAATAAATATGGACAACATTATACTTGAATGTATATTATCTGTAACAGCTGAAACCAACCGCTAGCAAATATTGTCCTCTTTAGGCTTTCCCTTTCGGGATTCCCCTCATGGTTTTTAAAACGCATCTATGAGGGAGAGGTTTCTACCCCTTATAAGAAATGTTAAAGATATTTGGCAATGCATCCGATCATCATTAGAAAAAAAGAACTTACCTTGGGTTCGGGTTTCCTCTCACTACCTTCTGGCCATATTTGCGCCAGCGATACCCATCATCCAGTATATCAACCTCACTTAAAGTTTGAACCACAACACGCGGTTCCCTAATTGGCCTAACCATTGGGCATGCCTCAAAACCACCAAGTTCCATTTTCCTGATGAATTTGATTAAAACAGAACTCATAAACAGTACAACAAAACAGTGTGCTGCCTTTTCTTATGCACAATACTCGGAGAACATGTTAACTTGTAAATAAGTATACCTCCGCTTCAAGATTATGTCATCATCATCAAGCTCATCAGGATTCTTGCATGGCAGAGTTGTTCCTGCACCTTCGGTGTTGCTATCATTTGCAGCCAGTCGTTCGGGAGTTCCATTTGGCTCAATGGAATGCACTGTCTGAGTGTATATGCTGCACGACCTGTCTAAAATGGAATATAATAGATTAAACAACCATGCTTAACACCCTGTAAATGGATTGAACTTACGAAATATTAAAACTAAGTACACAGGTTTATTTCTCTACCATCTTGGCCAGTTAAAGGTGAAGGCTTATCAGGACCATCTTTCACAGAAGCACCTGCAGAATATCGCCGACTTGGCTGAAGCTTAGGATGATCATGAGTACCCTTATAGACAATATCGGTTATTTGTCCATTGTGAGAGCGCTCAAAGAGCTTTTTCACTTCACAGTTAGGATGTGTACATTTATAATAACTACGGGGAAATTCGCTCCCTTTAACATGCTTCTGTCCATACTTCCGCCAGTTATATCCATCATCAGATATCCTATCTGAAACTACTGGACTGCCACTGCCTTTTGGATCAGATTGTGCGGCCTGTGCCCTGGTATTTGTGTTCAGACTATGATTGAAATCGTCTCCATCAATATCAGGAACAGCAGCCCCTGAGGCAACTGGATCCATCTGGGTTGATCGACTCGAATCATTTGAAATGACATTGATCTCACTTTTAGTCATGGGTGGAGCAGTAAATGGTTGAGGTTGGCCTTGAACTTGAAGTTCACAAGATTGTTCATCTTTTCTATGATTCATATCTGCAGGAACCTTGGAGTAAACGAAAATCATTAGGAAACAAGCACCTAAATTGAGGGAACATCACCACTCAAATCATAGGCTAAACTATAATTCTAGTCTCTACACCAAGTACATTCTTGAAACAAAGAACTTACAGGACATGAGGAAGCTGACATGATAAGACTTCAACTTTATATCTGACATTACAAAGGTAATGTCAACTTTCATACGATGACACGTGACCTTTTAGTTACTGTTTTAATTGGGGAGTGAAAATCTGAAGCTAAATTGATAAATTTTCAAAGTATAGTTTTTGAAATGAAACAAATGAGTACAGGACAGAAATGTTAACACTAGTAATGTCCAAAGACTTAAATTGACAGGAAGATTGGAAATAGTAGGAAAAAAAAGTTCAAAGCAAAGAAGAATTAGATGTAAAAAAAAAAAAAAAAGTTTGTCTAAACTAGTTTTTGCTTGTATGTCCTGATATTCTTTCATTCTTTTACAGCAAGTTAGATTTGTACCAAGAATAAAAAGTGCCTTAAAATAAAACATTTCGGTTCGTACAGTCAGAAAACTATTGGATGAAAGTAACAAGAGCCAATACAAATGTTTTAAGTTCGTGCTTCGCAATGAATCATGCAAAATATTTTCTTAAAAATCGAGATAAAACAAGAATGGAGACCTCAAGAATCAAACGGCTAATATTTACTCTAATATCTACAACTAAGATGGACGGATATCATGTTGTTTGATGTTAAAGATCCCTGTCCAAATCAAAGACCCGTTATGTTGTCTAATGAAAAGTAAAAGTTTGAATGAAGAACATGCCTTGCAGACTCCTACCAATCTATTCTTGCCATGACCAGGTCACTTAGCCATACCACTTGAAAAAATATGGAGTGGTGAGTTGAGTTTCATGTGATAAGTGATATTTGATTGGCATGGTCATATGTCTAAACATGTTATCAAAACAATAATTTAATAATACAAAAACTTTTTGTTCACAGATCTTGATAATGTTGTTTTTGAAGGACCTAGTCTTTTTGGACTAGAGATCATTTGTAATATTTAGGGTTAAAGTACCCTTGTGGTCCTTGTATTTTTGGACTCATCTCATTTTAGTCCTTGTACTTTCTATAAATCTTAAAATTAGTCCACATTGTTAGTTTGAAGTTCATTTTTATCAAAATTGGTGAAACACTAATAATAATTTTCATTCAGAAAAGACACAAGGTGAATATGTTCCAAAATTTAGAGATTTATCTGCTTTTAGAAAAGTTGACCATAAACTAGTAGAGACTAAATTTAAGATTAATTGCAACTAGGTGAACTAAATTGTAAGCACCAACTTTCAGAGACCAAATAGTGTTTGATATTATCCTATGGAATTACCATATTTGGTCCAACATATGGCTTGAACTCGAAGTAGTTGGAGTTTCCTTCATCTGAGGCATTAGCATTTGAGCAAGCCATGGTGGTCATCGGATAAATAGCGGAGCTAGAAGAGTCATGTGTCATTGGCAGCTTGGTAAAGGACCCAGTTGTCGGAGAAGGCTCTACCTGCACAACAGTTATTTTTCACATGAATAATTTAAGCAAGAAACATAAATTTTTCCTTTCACTATCACTGGAAGCTTAAAAGCCAATAAACATGCAGCAACACGGACAATTCCACATACGTTCTTTACTTACGTATAAAAATATTTCAATATAATTCAACCACCTAACAGAAAAAAGGAAACCACAGAAACTATGATCTCTAACTATCCTTAATCGTATAAAGCTAATAAAACCGAAACGCTCGTAATATTGGGGTGGAGGCAAGGTGGAGTGCTTACAGATAACAGCATAAAATAGATCCATAAGCTCCAAATGAAGGAAGATAATTATCTCTTAAATGTCTATGTCCAAGCTCATCTTATTCTTCACCATGTCTATCTCTTTTATATGCCATTGTAGGATATTGAACAAAAGCAACACACTTCTCATAGCAGATTCATTTACTTCTAATTCCATATATATAGACAAATAGAAAAAGCTCGGGTTCATACAAAGATGAAGAAAAAGCTAAAGCACCACTGAAAAGGTAGATTCATTATGTGAAAAACCCACATAGATTAGAGGTAGAAAGAGCACACAATTATTCTCTCAAACTTACAACAACATTATTCCCTAAAGCAATTTTATGGAATAACCCACACGGGCATAAAGGAGCCACCCAATTTAGTGGACTGCTATAAGAACAGGAATCAGAATCAACAGGTCCCAGCAACTCAAGCACCCAATTAAAATATGTAATGGTCATGATATTAAAACAATTGTGTTAAAACCGCATCAGTCAGGTCGTTCAAAACTCCCAAATTAAGTATATGACAAGAACAAAATGGTGAAATAAGTTCACCCTCAGTTCGATCAGAGGAAAAAACTGGGTTAGATATTATCATCACAAACGACAACATAAATTAGAAGAATTCAACACAAACTGAGAGAAAAATGAAGAACAGTAGAAGAATTCAAGCACAAACCCATTTCAGATCTCAACCCTCGTCCCCAAATTCAAAATCAAAACAACAAAATACAAGAGAGGAGAGAGAGAGAGAGAAAAGGAAAGGAACCTTGAAGTTAGTAAGCAAAACAGGAGAGTCGAGAAAGGAAGAGGGACTAAGGCCGGGAGGGATGGTAATGCAAGGAGAGCGGAAGATCGGAAGCTTAGCCGGAGACATGAGCTTGTACTTGGCGCCGGCAGCGGCGGTGGAGGCAGGTTCAGTGGGGTCCATGAGGAGAGAGAGAGAGGAGGAGGTGGTAGAAAGGGGAAATTAGGGAAGAAGAGGAGGGCAGAAAGGTCATTAAGGAGGAGGAAGCTCCAGGAGTTCAGGGATTTGGATTCAGACTATTTAGGGTAAGCTCTGTGAAAGAGAGAGAGAGGAGTGTGAAGAGAGCTTTTGGGTGAGCCGTTGCATTTTTATTTATTTATTTATTTATTTATTTATTTTAATTCCATTTTTTAAAAATATTTTCCCTCTCAAGTCATTAAAGCAATATTTTTCTTTTTTACTTCAATGAAATTATTAATGATGAGGTTGTTAAATTTCCATCCGTTCATATAAGGAATGGATTAAAAAATCCAACAAACTTATTTAATAACTCCAAATTCTATATTCATAGATTTTATCCTAAATATTTTTGTCTATTATCCTTTTAATTTTGTAATAAAATTTAATTACGTAACTATTTTGGGATTTTCAGGCACGATGTATACTCGTACCTACCCGTGTTCATATAAACTTATTTTATTTTTAATATTATTATAAAAAGTTGTTAGGATGGATACCAATTGTTACCTCTGATACCAATTGTTAGGATCGTTCAACAACGCACACACTTGATCAAGATGAACACAAACAACAGTAGTAAGAGAAAATACAAGGAGGAATATTGGCTAAAAGTTTTATACTGATGACTTCACGTATGATACAAATCCAGAGAATGGAGAGAGAATCCAAAGAATAGAGAAAGTAGATCTAGAGAGCACAGTCATATATATATATATATAGTTTCAATTTACTAAGGATAGTTTCAAAGATTTAAACGATATAATCTACTGAAATATCTCTATCCAATCTTTACCAAATATCTACTGTATATCTCTCTCAAATCTTTACAAGATATCTTTCAAATATATCTCTACTAGCATCAGGCTCCATATCCCAACTAAAGTAAGAATATTTGACTTTTGTAACAGAAGTGAGTGATGCACTGTAAACTATGAATGTTTGATACTTGAGATTTACGAGATTTTATATATTAATGTGGATAATTATGATTTTTTTTTTTTTAAACAAGCTAAACGAGTAAGGAGCACACCGAGCAGATATCTCGACAATTAGACAGAAAGTTTGTTAGGGGTGAGATGCATTGAGCGACGACCCCAATTGGTAGAAAAAAAAAAACCCGCAACCCCTTGGCTTTTCGGATTTTGATTCTTTCGTATCTTCATTGAAAAATTTGTAAAATCTCTATGGGTACATTTTATAAAAATTTTGGCATATTATTTAAAAAAATATACTATTTGATCCCTTAATGAGCTTTGAGGCCGGTTGACCAAAATGAGGATCCCAAATTGTCTTTACATGGAAATCAAAGGCCAAGGGGTCATTCGGTGAGATGCATTGAGCGACGAAAGCAAAGAAAGATGGGTTCTCATTACTATGGATATATGCTCACCATTCCATTGTTGTTGTATCCTTTTTGAGTAGAAGACTCTAATGCTCAATCAAGGTCTTAGGTATGAGTTGGATTATGGTAACGAAGGTTTAGTGGTTGTATAATTCTTGAGAAGAAAGTTGTCTACTTGCAAAGTCGATAGGGCGTGTTAGACTCAGCAGAAGTATAAGGTGTATGTCAAGAGGATATAAGAAGAGATTCAGTTCATCCCTTAGCCTAGCCTATGTCTACCGCTATCGTCTATTGCACGCCTCTGTTACTTGAGGCCTACGCCTCGGGTTGAACTATTCTTTCCCAGTAAACAAGGAAGGGAAACAGAAGGAAGACTCCTTATGAATGATAACTTTTTCTTCTTTCTCCTGAACCTGAACAAAAGAGAGTAAATTCAAGTGAACCGGCCTTGTAAACAAATAGTTTCTTTTGGTTTGACACCTGAGGCTCCTTTGAGGTCTATACATAAAGGACCTTTCTACCACATCGGTTTAAACGAAGTTTTACCATAACCTCGAATTTCGTGCAACTGGTATGTAATTGATTCATTTATGGAATCATGTATAGTCATTGGTGCTGAGATCTTCTCTCCGTGTCAATCTATGGTATTCCGTATCTGTGGTTTCCTCCGCTGCAGTCAAAGTTGTTGGGCCTTCCTACAAGGCTCGTCTTTTATAGTTCAGGGACAGTCAATTCATTAGCTATAGATTTCCCTTGTTCAAGAGTTAAATGACCTCAAAAATAGGGAGAGGCTCTTCCTTCTCTTCGGGCTTGAACATCAATTGCAATGATTCGATAACCAACTGGTGGGATAGATGTAAATTAACAAGACCCGCCCAGAACCGTATAAGAAGGTTTCTCCTCGTACGGCTTGAGGAAATTCACCAAATCCTTTTCCCGAAAAAAAAAAAAAAAAAGGGTAGGTGCAGAGACTCAATGCTTTCCTAATAAACTCAAGCGATAGAAGAACTAAGGAGCGGTTCTTGGAGCTGAAGCTATTTGCTTAGCTTTACATCCGCCCCAAGGTATCATTTCTAATACATCTCTGGGGGCAAGGAGAATTAATTCATCTTTCTTCAATCAGTCGAACTCCTACTCCTTCGCTCCTTTATCTTTTTGAATTGACTCTCCTTCTTTCACTGTAAACTCGATCTCACTGCTTCGCCCCTCTCCTCTTCTCCTCGAGCAACTTGACTTATCTACCCGGATCTTACCGAAATCAGTCCCCCCTGCAACTAGATACTTGATGGTGGGTGATTAAGCAAGCGAAAAAAAGGCTGGATCAAGAAAAGGGGGTACTATGAGCCCTCTGCCCCACGCATCTAACCTGCTCGCGTGGTTCACCGGTTCCACTAGAAACGGGCGAAGCCGGGGTCGGATTCCCTCTCCTTTCCAGTCTCGCATATTCTCGGATTCCCTCTTCTTTATATTGTCGCCCTTGGCCTGCGTCTCTAAGACCGGATTTTGTTCATTTAAGGAGCGGGGACTACTCTCAAGAAAGGTAATTGAGTATAAGGCTTCTTCTTCTTTGAATGAATATTTACTCGACAAAGTCGCTTGAAGTAGCGTAGAATCTAAGCCTTTTGACCAGTAGGTGTAGCGAATGGGATTAGATACCCTCGTAGTCCTAGTGAAAGAAAGGAGAGGAGCGAAGCAATGAGACCGTAAGCTTTACTAACTACCTAAATAACTAAATGATTCTAATTCCTTTCTTTCCCTCTTCGCTCCTGAACCCCGAAAGGAGACGGACTGACTCGCTAGAAAGAACCTGTCCTTTCCTTACTCTATCGATGGTATACCTGAGATGGCAGTCTTTCTCCTTGGCTGAGCCTACGAAAGGAAATTCCATTAGAACATATAACAAAGGCGTGAATGGGAGAATGAATACGATACCATAAACCCAATCGCTCTTTTGATTTTGGAAAAAAATTCTTTATCAATATACTGCTTCTTCTACACATTCCCCTTGGAAGAGGTTGACTTTGTACGAACGTTTCGCCTGAGACTGTCAAACAGTTCAACCCTTGTGAAAGAAGAATCCTCCATCTACCTCGTAAACGGAGTTCAGTTTCATCTTGTCTTGCTTTCGTTTTTCTGCTTATGATTTAGAAAGCCTCAAGATTAATGAGACTGATTTCCCTGTAAACAAAGACTCAAGCGAAAACCTTAACCTATCCTTTCTTTACCTTTATCAATCTCACTAATATAGTTTTAGCTTCTAATTAGATCGGGTAATCATTCGAATTAAGAACATAAGCCCATCGTCGTTCTTTCTTTTAAGCTTAACCGTTTGTGAGTTGTTCAATACAAAGAGAAATATCGGCCAGAGGTTTATACTGATGATTTATACACTACTAGAAGAATATACACCGGGTTTGGTTTATTATCAATAACTTTAGTTTGTATAGTCCTCTAGTATATATAATCATTTACGACATATAGCCATTGAATAGGTTATAAGTAAACATTAGACTCCATAACCTAACATTCCTACATGTCCCCACGCCCTTATCGATGTCCTTGAGTCCAATGAGAATAAAGAGGAGACTCGAATTGTTTAGCATTTTATAAGAGTGGATAGCTAACGTTGTGACATCTTAGCGAGAGAAGAGCAATAGAAGCTATATATTCAAGGAAGTTACGGACTAAATCAGAGATTGGATGGACATCTCGAACATTTGAAACACATGATCACTTTTTTCGTCGTATGTGCTAATTGGATGCATACTCATGTGATTGATGGGCAGAGAAATTACGTAACTGATGAGACCGACTTAACCAAAAGTTGTCAACTCTCCCCTCTCCGGATGGCAAATCTTTGTTAACCGACACTCGAAAACATATGTATAAGCACATACAATTCCTTGATAGTGTCCGTGTCATTTTGAATTATAATGTTCTGTAGTATATGGATAATGTTGAATGCTTATAGTAGTAATGCTATTGATACAACCCACTTTGTAATTGTTACAAATATTTTGATTCAAATTGTTCGGGAGGAGGCAGGTAAGTGGGGGTATCCTATATAAGGCCGACTTTCGTCCTTGCTCAACGGGTGGGTCTTGCAGTCAAGCTCCCATCAACTAGCTGAGATTTCGGAGATGCTAGCACAATTGACCTTCAATTGGTATTTTTTCACGAAAAGTAAACATGAGATAACAAATCCAGTCTTTCACTAAGATTTCGAATAGTTGTCTCGAATTCAAGTTGATTATGTTTTGCCTCTTCCTCGGAGAAAGACGATCAAACAATTCCCAATCATGGTCCTTGCGGGGCTCGAGCAGCAATTCATGGTTAAGTTGAATCGAGGAAAAACTAGATTTGTCCAATATAATATTTAATGGGCTTAACCCTTTCGCCCAATCCATGGGCTACTAAGTTACTCCATTTTATTTATTTATTATTATTATTATCATAATAATTAATGCATAATCTAGACCATGACTCAAATTTAAACTTTATTAAATTGTTAAATTTGGTTATATTGTATGCTATCACTTGAATTAAATTATACTTTCTAATATTTAAAAAAAATATATATATAATACGTGACATCATTTACGTAAATTGACTTACGAGTTGATGTATACAAATTAATTATGTAAATAATTTTAACGATATATTTTAAAATTAAATAAATGCATGGTAATTTTTAATGTAATTCAACTACTTTTTAAAATACTTTTCAACTATTTGGAAGTAGTTTCTCAAAAGATGTATTGAAATTTAATCGTAAATTTTAATTAAATATTTAAAAATACACGAGTAGATGTTTTGCAACTAAAATTTTACTTTTATTAAAAATAAAATTTGATTAAATGATGTGAACAGCTAAAAGTTATCCAACCGAGAAAAATTATGATTGGGTTGAATTGGATTGAGTTCATTATTTAAAAGTAGTTTAATCTGAAACTGTTACTTATTTATAGAAAGAAACTGTTTATGATCGAGATTTGATGCAATATCTAATCCAATTGATAACTTAAACCTTAAATATTGCATCACACCTAAGATCTAAAGTATGACTAATATATTATATCGAACTATAGGTCAATTAATTCATGTATTAATAATGTTTTAGAACTTGGAAGTTTGAATCCCGAGTCCTACACGTTATCTAAACTAAAATAATATTAAAATAAAAACGAAAATCAAACCCTTTGCAATATAGACTAAGTCTTTAATTTTTTTTTTCTCGAGTTTTTAGTTTTTGAAAATTAAATTATGTACCGATAAATTTCTTTATTTTGTTATGATCGAGTTTCTATCAACATTTTTAAGAAAATCAAGTTTTAAAAACTAAAAAATATCCACCGCTAGGAGATATTGTTCGCTTTGGTCTGTTACATATCGTCGTCAGCCTCACGGTTTTAAAACGTGGCCTGTTAAGGAAAAGTTTTTACACCCTCGTAAGGAATGTTTCGTTCCCCTCTCTAACCAATGTGGGATCTAACAATCTACCCCCCTTTGGAACTTAGTGTCCTCATTGGCACACCGCCCGGATCCTGGTTCTGATACCATTTGTAACAGCCCAAGCCCACCGCTAGCAAATATTGTCCGCTTTGACCCATTACGTATCGCCGTTAGCCTCACGATTTTATAACACATCTACAATGGAGAGGGTCTAGCCCTACTTCGATCAGAGCCAGACACTGGTTGGAGTAGTGCTAGACTCTCTCCATAATAAACGCGTTTTAAGACCGTGAGGCTGACGACGATATGTAATAGACAAAAGTGGACCATATCTACTAACGGTGAGTTCGTGCTGTTACCGTTTTAGTCTTAGAAATTTGACTCGGATTAAATGAAAGTTATCAAATGAAGTCTAAACTAATCGTGTGATGAAAATAGAAATTTTCACATAGATATGTATGAATTATTATATTGAAGGAAATATTAGTTCGAGAAACGTTTTTTTAGTTCAAAATGTGAATACAGCGGAATTTGAACATCTGATTTTTTAATCAATAGTATATATTTGAATCAATTGAACTATACTCAAATGTTGACAAGAGCGAAACAAACAGGAGAAAGCAAAGATATTTGTTAGCTTTAAATTTATGTTGAGACGTATCACTTTATTTGATTGCGATTAAGGATTACGAGTCGTTCACATGGTTCAACACGTCTAGTGTACTAGTCTAGTACACTTGCAAGTTCAACAAAGCAAGAAAACGGTCACATGCATCCTTATGGATACATTAACTCGTTGGTTAACCCGAACTAAAACGACACTAAATAAATATTTTTTGATATACTTATATTTCTTTTTTTTTTTTTAGTGAATTTGTTATATTTACAATAAAATAAAATAATAACTTGAAATTTTGAAATGAACCAAATAGAATTTAATTTAATAAACATGCTAAATTATTTATAAAAATGAATCAATTGGCAAAATAACATATTGAATTAAATTAAAAGAAAATTTTCATAAATAATTGATTAATTTTTTATAATTAATCGTATGTAACATATTTTATTAATATAAAAAATCTGAAAAATAAAAAGAATAATATATATGCATGGGTCACATTATATATATTTAATACGTATAGATAATCATTCTATTTTAAAATCTTATTACTTTTATATAATTTCTGTAACTTCTGATGCAAAATGAGGTGGAAATTTGTAGCAGGTACTGTTACGGTTATAGTCGAAGTCCACAGGTAGTAGATATTGTCCTTTTTGAGTTTTTTTTTTTTCGAGTTTTCCTTCCAGATTTTTAAAACGTGTCTGCAGGGGAGAGGTTTCTATACTCCTAAAAAGAATGTTTCGTTCTCCTCCCCAACCGATATGGGATCTCACAATTCACCCCCTTCGGGGTCCAACGTCTTCTCTAGCACTTGTTACCTTCTCCAATCAAGGTGGGACCCCTAATCCACCCCTTTCGGGGCCAACATCCTTATTGACACACTATCTGGTGTTTGACTCTGATACCATTTGTAACAGTCAAACTGCTAGTTAGATATTGTCTTCTTTGAGCTTTCCCTTTCAGGTTTTCCCTCGAGATTTTAAAAAATGCGTCTACTAAAGAAAGATTTTCACACTCTTATAAAGAATGTTTCGTTCTCCTCTCCAATCGATGTGGAATCTCAAAGACCAGGTCGTGAGATTTTTATCTTCACCAATCAAGAATATAAACATGTCTACTAGGGATAGAAACTTGAGTCTTCACTAATCACAACCATAGATTTGGAGTTTTAAAAATCAGGACAATCATATATTGTTTAAGATTATTTTAACGGCCTTAGATATATATTAGATAATATTAAATTACAAATAAAGTCATTGGGACACGTATCCTATTATTTTAAACTATATAACCAAATGAAATGACTTAAGCCGATAAAAACGATAGAAACTTATGAGCTCCAATGAAACGAAAAGGGAGAGGACACCATACATCCACATTAATAAGACGAGACGTAGATATAACAAAGGTAACCTAACATGAAACAAATTTGACCTAACATATGTTTAATTACAACGTTTGATGTGTCGAACCAAAGATGTAGAAATATGGCAAGTTCTCAACTCTTGAAAACACCAAAAAAACAATTTTGTCTTCATTAAAACTCTAGTTTAAACAACATGAAAGAAAGGAACACTTCCTTTTGTTTGGTAACTTCGTGGAGATTAAGGAATGGTTCATTAAATAGAAGGTAGGCCAATTCATAAATGGAGTATACATAGAGTACATGTAATCCAAACATTGTTATGCCTCATTAAAAACATCAAACTTGGTTAAAATCATCCCAAATAATCATATTATCTAGAATTTTTATAGCGTTTTTCGTACATCGTGGTAACTCATGTTATTAAAAGTACGGAACTTTGTATTGTGTCATGACATCCTACGTTATTCAACTAGATCTATATGAGAATATTAGGCTCGTCACAGTTCCACAATTTTCGAATCAATTCCTTCCCACCCAATACAAAATAAATAGAACAGAAACTCACGATCTACAATATGTAACGTCTTTCATTTTTATAAAATCAAGGCTACTACCCATAAAAGGTATTGGAATAGGGATCAATATCTTTATTATTGAGGCTGATTGAATCGACATATCTTTATTTCTACCAACGTTGCATATTGCATCAGGATGTATGCTGACGAGTACATATTTTTGTTGAAAAAACTTATCCTGTAAGTGTTATATCGATGTTTTCTTCCAAAGCTAGTTTTCATCGAGTTTTATTTACGTTGATATTTTGGTTGGTTGTGTGAACGTTTATTTGGATTTTTTAAAGGCAAAACCTATGAGATCCCACATCGGTTGGGAAGGAGAACAAAACACCCTTTATAAGGGTGTGGAAACTTCTCTCTAGCAGATGCGTTTTAAAAACGTTGAGGGGAAGTTTGAAAGGGAAAGCCCAAAGAGAACAATATCTACTAGCATTGCACTTAGGCTGTTACAAATGGTATCAGAGCCAAACACCGAGCGATGTGCCAGTGAAGATGTTGGGCCTGAAGGGAGGTAGATTTTAAGATCGTACATCGGTTAGAGAGGAGAACGAAACACCCTTATAAGGGTGTGGAAACCTCAATGTTTTAAAAACCTTGAAGGGAAGCCCGAAAGAGAAAGTTCAAAGAGGACAATATCCTCTTTCTAGCAGATGCAATCTCGAAAGGCAATAGACTTGGACGGTTACAAAACCCTTATATGTTAACGGAATTAAAAGCCCCTAACATCAAATTATGAGTACTCAACCCTATTATAAATGCAACATGATTGTTAGATAAATATACCATCATAATCCAACTTTTAAAACATATGCTATTCACGCAGAAATCTAAATATCACGATTTCGTTTTCATGACTTCTTCAGTAGTCAATGTCATTCATACCTGAAAATTTTAAACTTAAAAAAAACAATAAATAAATAATAAATTTGGTTTGAGTATTTAAAAATACCCAATAATTAGCCCCATTGCCCGCGCTTCATAGTGAGACCTATCTTTTCAGACACACGCACCTGAATTTACAAGATGAACTCATATACATATTTCTAGGTCTGACAATGGGTTAGGACACGCTCACATTGTTGGATACCAATAAAAAGAAAGGAGCACAGATCAAAACATACCAAAGAAGTAACATACATGAGGTCCCGTAATTTCAAATCATGATACATAGATACGATACACATAACTTTCCTACGAGACATGTTCGAGTCAATATTGTCCAAAGGATGAAGGCCATCAGCATGGCCCACACATGGTTGAATTATATTAACCCATGTGGATCGAACGCGATTCGTTGACTTTTTCTAATTTATATTTTCTTCAAACCCAAATAACATGAAACTGCCAGGTCATTTCCACTTTCCTTTTTCTAATTTTATATTTATTATTATTATTATTATTATTTCTTTTTCTTTTTTTTTCCAAGAATCAATTTTGCAATAATTCCCACTAAGAAAAGAAAAAAGTTATCACACTGCCCAACGAACATATTCTTAAAATAAATAAATAAATTAATTAATTCTCATTATAAATTAGAATTAAATTAAAAAAAAAAAAAAATTTCTAAGTATACCAACCAAACGTCTCTTTAACACCACCAACCCAACCTTTTCAACGCCAATAAATCGCCCACTTCCGATCCCTTCACCTCTCCCACTTTTCATGTTCTTCTCTCAAGATTTCAATCCATTTTCCCTTCAACTTCATCACCCACTTCTTCATGGTACCAAATTTCAATCGGGTTCGGCGTTCGAATTCTCAACTTTTCTTGTTCTTGAATTTCTCGTGATATTTGAATCTTTTATTTCAGATGCCTGGTGTAACGACGGAGTCGTCCGAGAAGGACTCGGAGCCGTTTGTCGAAGTGAATCCAACGGGTCGATACGGGCGATACGGCGAGCTTCTAGGGTCGGGAGCGGTGAAGAAAGTGTACCGAGCGTTTGATCAAGAAGAAGGAATTGAGGTAGCTTGGAATCAAGTGAAATTAAGAAGCTTTTCAAATGATCCATCCATGATTGATAGGCTTTACTCGGAGGTGACATTGCTAAGAACCTTAAAGAACAATAACATCATTGCTTTGTACGATGTATGGCTTGACAAACTTCATGGAACCTTAAATTTCATTACCGAGGTTTGTACAAGTGGGAATCTTAGAGAATATAGGAAGAAACATAGGCAAGTTTCTTTGAAAGCCTTGAAGAAATGGTGTAAGCAAATTCTTAAGGGTTTGCATTATTTGCATACTCATGAGCCTTGTGTTATTCATAGAGATCTCAATTGTAGCAACCTCTTTGTCAATGGCAATGTTGGGCAGGTACTCATTCATGAACTTGGGCTAATCTTGAGCTTAATAATTGGCTTAATTTTAGGGTTTTCTCATGATTTTGGCTACAAATTTGTTGTCATGGTAGGTGAAGATTGGTGATTTGGGTATGGCTGCAACGGTGGGGAAGAATCACTCAGCTCATTCAGTGCTTGGGACACCGGAATTCATGGCACCTGAGCTATATGAAGAGCATTACACCGAGCTTGTGGACATATATTCATTTGGCATGTGTTTGCTTGAATTGGTCACCTTGGAAATTCCCTATAGTGAATGTGATAACGTTGCGAAAATCTATAAGAAAGTATGCTCGGGCATCAAGCCGTTGGCACTCGACAAGGTCAAGGACCTTGAGGTGAAGGCTTTCATTGAGAATTGCCTTGCTCCGTCTCAAGATCGGCCCTCGGCTGCTGACCTCCTCCGCCACTCGTTTTTCAGTGAAATTGACGAAGACGACGACGACGAGGATAGTAATGATCGTTAGTGTATTGCGATTGAATAAGAATTTATATGTGGTTTGTATGTATGATGAATGAAATTAGTGTTTGTTTTCTCATGAAAGTTGTTTTTTTTTTCATTTCAATTCTTTGCTATCTTTCATTATTTTAAGAGAGAGATAGCATGTGGGTTTGAAATGCTTTTCCCATATTGTAAGGTGGAATTGGATAAGCATGATTGACCTTTTAGGTTTTATTTTTATTTACGTTTATTTATTGTATATAGAAGCATTTGATTTTTATGAGTGTTCTTCCTCCACAAATCACTATTTTTCTTTTTAAATTATTATAATTAAAAGAAAATCAATTCAATAAAGGAAATAAATTAGAAAATAGGAATGAAATGAAAAAAGAAAAAGGGAAAATAGGGAAGGATGTGTGTGGGGCTTGCTCGTGAGTGCACGTACACGGTGTCACAATCGCACTTTGATGGTAGCGGACTTGCAATTGTGCGGTACTCACTTCCCAGCAACAAATGAGTTAAGCCTATTCGTTATTGTGTCGCCTACGGCCAAGTGACGTATGCTCGAGCCTCTAGCCCCAGTTCAAGAAGAAAGTTTTAGAAAACAGGGGTAGAGAGATTTCGAATTTGAGTTTTGAAAGTAAGATTTGAGAAATTGGAAATGGTGTTATATGGTAATGTAAACAAAAAGGCAACAACAACAATTTACTGCATATAACTATCGGGTAGGAAGAAGTTGATAACTAGTCATATCCCCTATAGTACATTTTGCGGCATTTTAGCTCTTGCAGGTGTAGACACGATTTTGGTGAATGGTCATACACCCTCGTACTGACCCAATATGGAATGGTAAAGACCTATCTAGGATGAAAGCATATAAAAAGGGTTTGGAACGGGCATGCAACCATGGACAACACGTCCTAAACAAGCAAGATTGGGATATCTGTCATGCGGCCATTGACAACACGCCTTGGACATGCACAATCGTGATACACGACCCCACGTGTGGGTGATTGTAGAATGTGGGACAAATCCATTTGGTCCCATTTGACCTCTATTGGTTTGTTTTTCGATTCAATTTTAATATCGTACATAATTTTATTATGTTAGATCTATGGAGTATCCAACTATTTTTTAATAGTGATCTTGTCAAATAATTTGGGTTCAAGTGATGATTAATCTCCACGACACAGAGTTAAAGGATTAGTTACGCAGACAAGAACTTTAGTGATCGTCAAACTTGTATGAGAAGGTAAAGCGACGGGAGAATGGAGGCTTCAATGATTTAGTTATGCCAATTATTTGACCCTACCTATTAGCCACGAGATTACATGATTAAGTTACTATGTCGAGTACAATTACCCTTGATCGTGGCCAACTAACATAACGTCAAATTTGGGTTTTTTTTTTTTTTTTTTTTTTTGTTGGTGTCCGCAGAGAAAGTTGGTACAATTTTTTAGACTGTATTATTAGAAAAGGATGCTAAATTGATTTTCTACATCTTTTACGAATGCCAACATATGTATACACAGTTAATTTGGGACATTCCGCATCTTGGATTCTACTCATACATATACTTATATATATATACATGTATCTACGAGTAACTCTTTAACACCCTCTCTTAAACTGAACTATGCATAAATCAGTTTAGGACTTTACTTCTTCTTCTTAAACCACATCTTGGATTCTGCACATCCGCATCTTTCTTCTAAGCTTCTCGAACAATGGTTGTTTCAAGAGCTTTGTTCATAGGTCTGCAATTTGTTCATCACGCCGGCAAAAATTTAGCTCAATAGTACTTTTTTTACACAAATCACGCAAGAAATGAAATCGAATGTACTCACTCTTTCTATGAAATACAGGATTTTTAGATAACTTGATAGTTGACATGATCACAATAGATAACGGTTGAACCTAGTTGTAAAACCCAAAAATAAAGGAAATTAGCTCTGATGAAAATAAGTCACCCAAAAAAGAAAAGAAATGAAAAGGATTAAGCAAGAAAAAGGTGTTAAGCAAGTCATTTCTATACCCTATAAGTAATTTTAAGGAAATAAATAATTTTAAGGAGTTAAAAGTCCGAGGAAAAAATAAGTGAAAATGAGGGAAATATCATTTTCTAATTTTTAAGAAACTTTGTGGATTTTTAATTCCTTATCCAAAAGGAATTTTAAGATGCTCAAGATGGGAAAAATGACCGGGAGCAAGAATTTTTAGAAAAATTATGGATTTTTCGAGGAAAATAATAATAAAATATTTCGAATGTGGTAAATTACCAAAATAACCTTGAAGTTCCACTTAATTACAAAACTGCCATTAAAGAAAATTTGCCACCCGATTTGTTTTGAGAACTGACAAACAGAAGAAAATTGCTCGTATCTTCACATTCAATCGTTGGATTGAGCCGAAATTTAGATATTTTTAACACCCAACGGTTAATATTGAAAGTACCCTCAGAGTAAGTATTTTTGACGAAAATTCTAGAAACGCTTCAAATAAAAAAAAAGGAGAAAATTCACTATGATTCTGAAACATCAATGATTGTCCAAGCTTGATCTATAAATAGGAAGTTCTAGGCAATGTTTTAAAATAAGAATCTAGTGATAAGGATTCCTAAAAGAGTTTGAAACTTTTAAATTATGGATTTTTCTTCTTCGAATTTCTTCTAAATTCTAGGGCTATGGTTAATCATTTTCCTTACTACCAACTCCTTCATATTCCACATGGGATTTCCAACAAGTTTCATGAAGGAATTGGGTTCTGAAAAGCTTTAGAATCCGCTGTCCAATGAAAGGTTTCTAGATTTACTCCGACGAGAAACATGTTTTTTTGGTGAATTTTGGAAGATTATAACTTGAACTACATACCACGAAAAGGTATGAACTTAGTCTCTACTTCTTCCTTGAAACTTTATCTAAAGGTTTCGTGAAGAAATCGAGTCCATTAGAGTTATATATAGAGCTTTACAAAGGCAAAACCAGAGGGGTATGATAAGAGAAAATCGTGATTTTTCCAGCAACCATTGAAGAAGATGAAGTCCAAAGTCAAAAGGTCAAACTTTGACCAATAAAAGTCAAATATAGCCATATGTTGACCTTCCCTCAGTTTTTCTCAATTTTAACCTCTTTTTAAATTGGTTCTCATGAAAAACTTTATGGTTCTAGAAACTAGACACAATAAGGAGTTTGCAAAAGAATATTTGAAGTAATTTGGGTACCGAAAGCTCAAGAACGGAAGTCTCGAACGTCGACGAAGAGGTAAGTAGCCACCTTGAACTTTTTGTTAAGAAATACTTGTAGGAATTGCTTGAATTTTCACATGAACTCTAAAAAAAAATATGAATTAAAGATATATGAAAGAAAAACTCAATGAACCATGAGTTAAGGCCCAAAATCGATCAAATTGCTCGATATTTAGTAACGTTAAAATAACCCACTAAATAAACTTCGCTGTAACAGCCAAAAAAGATAGTAATAATAATAATAATAATAATAATAAAATAATAAATAAATAAATAAAAATTAAAAGACGAAAAACATTTGGTAACCGATCCCTCCTCCTTCCTTCAATCTCTCACCACTCCTCCCCTGAAAATAAATCTGCCAACAAATGAGGAAATTCATTTTCTGTAAAAAAAAACTGCAGATTTACCTAGAATTTCTTCCTTTCTACAAAAACAAATAGAAAAAAAAAAAAAAAAAAAAAAAAAAAAAAAGGTTTAA